ATTTTGCTTGAAAGCTATTTATGAAAGCAATTTACGGCTAGGAAAGCAGTCAGAAGCTCACTGAAGATGAGCGACTTCAACCTTAACGGCAAATTCGTAACCTAACAAATATAACAGTGTTTTTCTCAGAGAGGTGCTCCAAAAACAAGCTAGGGCATGTCGTATAATATATCAAATAATGATTAATGGTTTTTGTTAAAAGTAGGTTAAAGAACAATTGCGTTATTATGGAGCAATACCCCTGTCCCTGGTTCAAACTTTGACCACCCTACCCTCATTGAACTTTCGATTTTTGTCCCCTGGGGTATAAAAGCACTTCTCCCCATCGCCGGGATTGCCACTACCCATCCACCACTGCGACCTATTTTTATTTAACTTATACTCCTATTCTGGGGAGCTATGGCTCCCCACAGCCTCACCAGCTTTGTACGCATTATCTCTTTAACTTACTGTGTATTAATAAATATGTATATAGGACGCGACGTCGTACTCACACATACACACTCCTACAACCGGGGCACACACTAACCTAAAAAGGTTAACTGTTAGGGTCGCGAGACAGTACATCCCCTGTCAGGGTGAACTGGTAAGCTGAGTGCTTGACATTGCAGCCGGAGTCAGGGGAGCAGTTAAAGGATGAAAAAAGGTATGGACATCAAGGTAAAAGCTATATTCTGGCTAACTGTTTGGAAGAGATGAAAACGATAGCCTTTTTTCCCGCACTTACAATAAATGCTGTGTCACTGTAAAGTTGCTGTACATCAAAAAAATCTCATTCTGTTTAGCGTGCTGATGATCTGGGTACTAACAGCACTGCTTGTATACGCAGCAATCGAGCGGATAATCAACCAAGACTTCGACGTGGATGCTACGGTGATGCTCTACACAGCAGCAATCAGTGTGCTCTTCAACGTGATTATGGGTCTTATTCTACATTTTGGCAAGACGCCACACTCCCATTTCGGGATGTCTCATAGCCACCAACACGATAGCGACAAGACCTACCCCGTCGATCCTGAGGTAATTTGTCGATGTCGGTTTGCAAACAAAGATGCCAAAGAAAAATGAAAATTCGCCTCAAAAGATGCGCAAAATTCAGAAAAAGAGTGTGTTAAAGGTGGCGTTAAAAGCGATGAATTAGTGGCGTTAAATTAACACAAACACAATTTGACAGCTGGAATAATTGAATAAGCGACGCAAATGACAACTGTTAGAGTTGCTTTAACCCGTGTTAACTCTCCGGAGTTCAAATCTCATATCAGGTAATGCAAATTAAAGATTTGAACTCTGTCTGCGATTGGTTTAGTCAGGCGACGCACTGGCAAAATTACAGGATCTAATCCTGCCTGGTTGCCGAGTTGAAATAGTGGACAGACAAATATACAAGCATACACAATATGCGCCTTTTCTGACTATTCCAGCATAACAATAACGCTGCTTCGCAAAAACGCATAAAAATGCGAGAAAAATTAAGACACATACAAAAAAAAAAATTCAGGAAGCACCGGCTGGAAAATAAAAAAAAGTTGATAAAATTCATTTGATTCCGCTTTCCAAACACCCGTTCATTAATGATAGACTAGAACGATAAGGCCGAGAACACAAACCGACTGATTCCTTGCACGGTAGCGGCATAGCAGCTTTGACAAAAAAACGCCATCCTTTTCTCAAAAGTCGCCCTCCTGTAGTCAGCCTTTTTCCTCCTTCCGTTCCTCTCCCTCAATCTCTGCCTTTCCATGAAGGTATCTGCCAGCGTTTCAACGCAAAATTCAGTAATTCTTGGCCTAATTTTTATGCAACACGCATGTTTTCGAAACCTTATCTGTACATTTATATTTTTTTTTTAGTTTTTTTATCCGAGGTTTTTAACTTAGCAACCGGAAGAGTTAGAAAGTTGCAATTCCAAGACGGTGTTTCTTGTCTATATGCGACTTCAAAAATTTTAAATTCTGCTTTCACATATACTTAATTATCACATACGAATCCATAAGAAGTATTGTTGAAAAATTTACTAACTCGAAAACCAGATAAGATGAAAAGCTGCACCGAACTGCACAAAACGCATCATCGCACCGGCTCCCTGTTGTGCGCCACTATTTGTCTTTAACACTTTCCGTCTCATTTTTATCAGTTTTGCCTCAATTTTCTATTTTTTTCTTTTGTGGTTCACGACTCGGTAATTTTCGGAGCAAAAAAGGAAATAAATGGCAACGCGCACCAGACTAGCCGGTGCGATCATGCGTTTTGTGCAATTCA